AAAAAAAAATATCTGCAACAGTTAATATCTATAGATCAAAGAATTATAAACTAATGGTCCATGGCATCGTGTCTTAAAGCAAATTGCTGGAACTTTCCGTACCAAAAATTTCATTTTTTAAGAATGATTCAATTTTCTTTTAGAACTCTAAAAACGTGACCTTTTTGAAAAATTTGATTTTTCTTATACTTGAAATATTTTGGAAATTTTTGGTACGGAAACTCTTTTTAAATGCAATCGCGATACGTCACCTGTGTAAAAACGAATTCACAGTCACATTTATATAAATTAACTTCTATGCCGAAATGAAGTTTCCGTAAGTCCTTTCTTGTCATATCAATTTTAATTTAAAGATCTAAATGCAATACTTTTAGAATTTTTTTAGCTGTATGATCCAAAAGATTTTTTCTAAACCTTGATGCAATCGAGTAAGCTTAACAAAATCGAGTAAGCTTAACAAAATCGAAAAAGTCAAAATTAGCAAATTTGGCAACTAAAAATTCAGTCACTTTTAAATAATAGAATAAAACAGAGAATACTACATAATATCTATGGATTTCTGAGTTTTAAAATTATTAATTTGGTTTTTTACACATTAGTATTAATAATTTTACTAACATTGAATATAAAAATTTGATCATATACAAGGAATAATTAATATTAAATATCAAAACAACAAACAGATGATTTCAAAACTTTTAAACTACTTAATTCCAAATATAGAAAATATTGCTTATGCACGTCCACTAATAAAATATACTTTTGAATGATACAAAGTTGTAAAGTTGAAGTACAAATAATCATCAGCATTCAAGATTTAAAATATTCTGGTCACGTACGGCCATAAAATGGATTGTCACACTGTATATATTATCATTCAAAGTATTGTGAAGAATATCAATTTGTAAATTGAGAAATAAAATTATACGAAGCTAAAATCCAAAAACAGTTAAAATTTTACATTATATAAATAATTTTATCTATGCTAGGCATAATAACAAGCAATGACAGGCATATAACAACAAAAAATATATCCTCTAATTATTCATCTATCTCATGCAGATATGTTATAATAATAATGATATAATTGCATTATAATTACTTGATTCTTTTATGGCACGGTATTCAATTAATTTTAATTTACACAATAAAATAATTATATAATATTTCATTAATACAATTAGTATCTGTTGCATTATTAGATGACGCATTGATTATTGTATACCGTGTAATTATTTTTTTATTTAGTTATTACATAACATGACTATTATTGATACATTTATAATTTAATTGCATGGTTAAATATTATTATGCTTAAAAGTCATACTTCATTAACATTATTTTTTTATAAGATATTTTTTTGTTACTGCGATTAATGAAAATATATATAATAAATTCTATTGAAAGAATATATTTTTTTGAAGAAAAACTTAAAATTTGTTATTTAAAAATGTCACTTTATAATTAACATATATCATTATGGTTCATACTAAATTATTTTATGATTCACAGATTATTTGGCACTAAAAGAGATAACAATTTTCAAATTACAAAATATTTTTATAGACGTATGTAAATTTGTAAATATAACATGAATAATTTCTCTTTAAATTTACCGATGCTAGACAGATTATAAAATCATGATAGTTGGATAAAAATCAAATTTTCAAATTTTGTTCTCTTATAGACCACAGTTTTAGTTATAATTTTAATGTATATCAGAAAATAAGAGTATATTTCAGTATATAATTTAGAACATCCGAGTAATTATCTAAGGTTATGGAAAAGAGTTATGTATATGAAAATATAAATTCCATTTGTATAAAAATATCAACAATTTATTGATTATGAAATTTCATGATAATAAAAATGACAAAATATTTTGTTTTCTCCTATTCCAAGCTTGCTTGATTCCCCCACAAGGTGATTGGATAAATATGAAAATTTAATTAGCTATTCTCTCATAGATCATGATAGTTTTAATCACAATGCTTATAATTATTATAAAATAATGTTTTGTAAGAATAAGAATTTTATATAAATGTTTTGACTATGTAAATATTTTCTTAGAAAATAAAATGTTGGTGAAAATAAAAGTTGTTAATTCATCAAAACTCTATTAAAACGATTGCCTAGGGATAGAAGAACATGTCTTAGGAGAGAAACGTATTATGTGAGATAGAAGATAAGTGCAAAATTTGCTGTAAAGTGGCGTATTAAGCGTTAAATGTTTCAAGCATGTTTGTCTTAACAGGGTTCTACTGTAGATGAAAGTTAGCCCCAACTAATGTCCAATAATAACCGATTAATTAGTAGGTTCTTTCTTCATGCAAAAATGTAAAAAAAATATAGAACAAATGTTTTGAGAAACCAAATATTTTTGCATATAATGGATAGAAGATACGTGCAAGATTTGCAGTAAAGTGACGTATTAAGCGTTAAATGTTTCAGGCATGATCGTCTTGACAGGGTTCTACTGTAGATCAAAGTTTGCTCTATCTAATGTCCAATAATAACTGATTTATTAGTAGGTTCTTTCTGCATGCAATACTGTGAAAAATATATAGAACTTATATTTTGAAGATGCAAATATTTTCTAAGAGAATAAATAATATTTAATACATACATCAAAGTTTATTAACATATTTATTAATAGGATCTATCTTCTTATTGTTAAGGGAATTAATTAGTTTATTGAATCTCCTAAATATAAAATTTATAAAACAATATAATAAATACACAGCAACTCAAAAAATTAAACAAAAATTATGTTTTAGAAAATCGTGAATATTTCTTTATTATATGTGTTCGATATTTTGGCTAGCATCGAATTGCAAAAGAGTTCCAACAAAAAGAGCGTACACTGATATTCAGTAAATTGATAAATTTTTCAGCAATTTCAAAGTACTAATATTTTTTAAACCAATGTAAAAATTAAAACAGAAATAATATGTTATCATAAATTAAATAGCTTTAGAAAAATAGAAAATCTGGTATAATTAACTTCCCGTAGTAAGTAAAAGTAATCACAAAATAATGAAAATTCAAAATTTAGTTTCAAATTCAAGAAAACATTTTACTTATATTGATAAAATGAAAAACTCCTTAAATTTATGGAAGGCAGGTTTAGAAGTTTCGGAAATCCAATAAAAAAAGTAAAAAAAAGTTCATTGGACTTTTGATGAGATTTTAACAATAAGTACAAATCATGTTTACATTTCCATAGGTTAAATACCAAGATTTATTCAACTATTAGACTGCAACACGGCGCTTAGGCGCTTTGATGCTTTGTCTTCACGAATTAAAAAAAAGTCAGAATAAAAAAAAATCCAAAAAAATTAAATTTTTTCACAAATTTCAAACTCAAAAATCTAATTTTTAAAGTAGTCAAAAAAATTTAATTTGTCTCAGGAGAAATTCCAACAATGTGCTTTAAGGCACGATGCCATGCACCACTTGTTTGATTTAACACTAAAACATTTTCCGAAAATTTTCGGTAGTTTGAGAATGTTGTCAGTATCCAGATATGATATATGCACGTATAGCCACTCGGATGATGTATATCACGCCGAGCAAGATTCTGGTACGAGATGGCGCAGAAAATGAACACCTATATATCACCACAAACAGACCCTCGTACTCGGAAAAACTGACATTTCCTTTTCCCGCCGAGAGAAAACGAGATGACACATGTTTTCCGTTCCGGCATAGAAAAACTTTTCATGAGGAAAATCTGTGATACGGTGAATTTTCATATAAAGAAGTGTATTCACATAAGTCCACTCGTGGGGAAATCTGTTGTGATATATGAAGATAATGTTTAACGATAGATTCCTGAAGCGGATGATGCATTTACGTGTCGGGTATTTATAACAAAGCTCTGGGAAAATGTGATCAATAACAGGACTCAAATTAATTTATTTGAAGGAAGTGAAATTTGTTTTGCGTTGGGGTGCAACAATAAGATTAATCTGGATTTTTTTGTTTAGTGAATCTTTCTTATACCAAATTAATTAATAGCTATATGATTCTAAAACTTTGCCTTCTCTACAAAAAAAAAAATTATTAGACAAAAACTTTTTTTGGGTGTTTTTAATCAATCAATCAATCAGAACTTATGAGCAGTTGAGATAAAACTTAATTTTGGTCTATCTATATTTGATATATTAATTAGATATTTCTAATACTACTATTGATATTCAGTTTTGATGCGGAAATTCTTGGGAAAAGCTATTTTTAAGTGTAAATAAATATAACTACTGCTTGATATCCAGTTGTCCACTCGGAATTAAAATGGGTATTCTATTATTACAAACAAAAATTAACAAAAAAAATTGAATCATTTATGGAAATATACACACTTATCCAATTATTGTTTTATTCGTAATTTTATTGCAAATGTTTTCTCTGAACAATTTTTTTTATAATATATCATAAATTCTAGAATAAATTCTTAGATTTTGTTTTGGTAAAATATTGTCGTATAATTATAAATACCTATTTATGAAATAGAATGACGTTTTGGAAATCATTTAAAATTATTATATTTTTTATAATTAAATTTATTTTTCGGTATTTTTTCATAAAAGGTAAACAACGTATATTTGATAGCAGAATATTTCAATTGCAGTTTCAAATGATTGTAAGTCTAAAAAAATAATATAAAGTGCAAATTTGTGATCGAATAATATTTTAATTAGGAACAAGATCAAATGCAAATTTCTGGTCAAATAAAAAATTTAATTAGTTTTCGATTTTATTTATTTTAATTAATATTAGTAATTTAATTAAATCTAAACGTGCGTTTTTTGCCAGGCACATGCTAGCTTATAAATGATTTTCCATATTAATTTTTTAGAAACCTTTATTTGAATAATATTATTATTTTGTTATGTTTATT